GATATGATAAATTTTTAGAAAACTATTCATCATACATGTTGATTAGTGGGTCCTAAATTAACATTGGATTTAATTCAATATCAATGTGTTCTTGTTATACTGCTAATAATGTGTGCTAAACCGCATGAAGACTATGAATTTGCTTTTATATACTGTATTTTTCTAACTATTCAGGGACCGTTTCCCAGGTCACTACATATAAAATCCCTGATTATATTAAGCAAGTTAACAAGCTTTTTTTAGGCAGTATGAGTAAAATGTTAGCAATTCTAAATGTTATTTTCTTTGCCACTGTAAAAGATCTTATAAAGCATCATACACCAAACTTAACATCCTATATTTTTCATGTTATTTACCCAGAACTCTGAACGCTCAGCCTGTGACACAGAACATGCATTTAAGACACAGTGATTACCAGAGCACTCATTTGTATGACTGATGACTTTAATTAGTCCTCTTTTTCCAATTGATTTTTTTTACACACAAAGTCTGCGACATGTTTGCACTCTGTTCTGCCCATCCATGTTTTTTTTAAATATTTTTTTGTTTTGCTTGAACGAATCCTGAGACCGAACCATATATTTCACTGCTGTGCTGATTGCTGCTCAGATTTTCTTCCACAGTGTGCATTTATCATGTGCAGGGCCCGTGTCAAATTAAGAAGTCTCTCATGTTGGAATCATGCCAGGGTAAATATTGTTGTCTGCTGTAAGTGATTAAGGACGATTGTTCCAAAGCTATTACATTTAGAAAATGACTCTTTTTATAATGGAAACAAAAGCAAAGACCACAGGAAGTTCAGAAAAGCCTTCCCTAATGGTAAGCAGGTGATCTGGTAATGGGTCTTGACTTTGGGCTGATGCGTGTGTCATACACTGAGTGAATCGTCCAACCAAGCATTGTAAATTCCACTTCTTATGCAGCTGAGCAGCTCTTCCGCTGCCCTTGGTGCTGAGTGCCAGAACATTCCCCATTGACTTTGACTCCTGAGGAGCAGCAAAGGAGCAATTCTGAATGTCCTCAGCAGGGAGGGTCGGAAGGGACAGAATACAGATCAGAAAAGCTCTGCTAAGCATTTGTCCTTGGTGGAGAAGAAGAGAAGAAAAATAGCTGGTGCTGCTTATGTCTAAAAAGTTTTGCCTTTAACAATAACACACTTAACCCTGGATGGCAAGTCTCTTAAGCTTCTCTTAATGTCATTTTTCTGTGGTTGTCAGGTGACTGCTACCGTTTGGCAGGTGCACTTATATGCAATCAGAAATCATTTGTTTCTGTTGTTCAGGTTATAAACAGGGTTATGCATAAGCTGTCAGAATGAAGGTTGTTTG